TATCACTCTAAATATTACATTCTTATTTCTCACGCTATTGCTAAATCAACAGCTTGAGAAACTTTTTTTTATTTATTTACCCTTTTATGTAAAAGGTACTCTGACACACACGCTAACACACACACACACACACACACACACACACACACACACACACACACACACACACACCCATGCCTGGTATTTTCTAGAGTTCCTAGAGAACGCAGGAACTGCCAAGTTCAGTGAACTCTTCACTGTCAAATCTGAAGTCAATCTCTCCAACTTGTGACTAGGAGAGAATACTGCAAAGCCAAAACCAAAAGAAACCCACCAAAATACAAGGCATCTCCTTCCTTACCAGAGAGGTTGACATTAAATCTGATATAGCACAGAGTTAACTTCTCAAGTCGCTTCATTACCACAGCGGACCGAGAAGGCACTCTTAGGGTTAACTAATAGAACTGCTGTCAGAGTTTGGCATCTGCTCTGCCAATTAGATGTTTTTAAGAGAAAAAGTGTATAACCCAACATAATGCATATCCTTTAACTGTACAATACACACACCACTAGGGAAAATTCTCTCAAGGTTGCTAGTAACCAATTTCTGATCATCCTATTTCTTTGCAAGCCATGCAAATCTTCACACGGTTTTATTTTCCAAAACAAATGCTTTAACTTTTCCTACGGGGCCGAGCTCCAGCCTTACAAAAGCAAACCTGGAGAGTGACATATGGAGGAGAGCAAGTTTAGCTAAGGACATGGTTCAAAGCAGCTTCTAATAAGAACATAAAGCCCAAGTTGACCTAAGAACAACGTAAATACTTAAAACAACTTTGAAAGTATCCGGTTAAAAAGACTAGCAACAAGTACAATTACTGTATGGCATAATCCCAAGATAGAAAAGACAACAAAAGACAAAATACTTCTAATTAAACTTTGGAAAAGAAAAGAAGTCCAGGTATTTCATTAATTATGCTAAGATTGTTAATAACAATGCAAATTTTACAGAAAAATACAAATCTCACCAGCCATATACACCATTCAGAATTGAATACAGAAATTTAATTAATAAACTCAAAAAATACTAGGCATAACTTTAAAATACACAATTTAAATATACAAAATGCTACAAACATTTTAAATTGATTAGCACAAAGCCCTAGCATGTATTAGCATGATTCTCTCAGATCCTCTTACTATCAAAAACAGATAATCAAGTGACTGTCACTCTAAGTATTAAATTCTTATTTCTCCCTCTATTGCTAAATCAACAGCTCAGGAAGCCTTTTTTACTGACCCTTTTATTTAAAAGGTACTCTGACACACATGCTATCAACACACACACACACACACACACACACACACACACACACACACACACACACACCCATGCCTGGTATTTTCTAGAGTTCCTATAGAACGCAGTACCTGCCAAGTTCAGTGAACTCTGCAGCCTCAAGTCTGCAGTCAATCTAAGGCAGCCAATAGGAAGTACACCTGTGCAATTACCCTGTTTCCTATTTCAGAATCCTGAGCGCTATACAGAGTAACTGGTGCATTTGAAGCAATGCAAAACTCAAATTATACAGAAGCTACATTACAAAAATAAAATAAAGGTGATCTTGTAAAATCACATTACCAATGTTTATTAGAAAGAACTACTAAGATCATTATTTTAATTTTAAATAACTAAGAACACTGGGTAATCAAACAAAAATAAAGGTTGACTTCAAAACAAACTACAATATGAAAGGATCTATAGAAGAAAATCTAGGAGGAAACAAATCCTAAAAGTCACAAAATACATAATCTAGACTAAATCATATACCAACTAAGTAAGAAATTTATTTTTTTTGAGTAAGCAGTCAAAATATAAGGAAAATGAAAGAAAATCTCAACCATAGTACCTAGTTTCATACCATCCCCATTTTTCTAAAGATATTGAATATTTTCAAGTTTCTCAGAAATTCAATAACAAGAGTCCAAAAAGTAATCCTGGTCAACCAAGTTATCTATATTATATTATATATGTAAAAATATTCCATTGAAAACTCTCACTAACAGTTCCAATAAATTTCCTTTAAAAGAAAAAAAAAATCCAGAAAGACAGAATTGTAGAGGGTTAAGGAGTTTCCAAAGAAGAAGAAAAAAGAATCTTGCCACAGGTTACAAAGTTTCATTAAGTATCTTAAGTCTTTTACTAAGCATCGTCTTTTCTGGCCCTCAGTGGCTATCAAGCAATCAATAACAATGTCACAAAAGAATGTTTACAAGATAGGACATGGAGTGTCACCTGTAATGACTTTGTATGAAAAATGCAAATGAACGTATTTGAATGTGAGGAAAACGTCGGCCTCCTACCATCTCACTTTATTGACAGTAAGTGCTTCTCAGACTGAAATTAACAAGGGGTTGGAAATTGTTTAGAGCGTAAATTTTGTTCTTGTTTAATCGCCCCTAAGTCCCTCGTTTCCAAATACTGTGGAAGAGTCACCACTACTCACCGCAAGTAATACTGTTTTAAAGCAAAGGCAGCGTTGGAACAACTTCTGGGAAAGCTGAACTCTTCAACAATTTCTCCCCACTGATTCTTCTCAGAAACCTGTTAAAAACACAGGCACACTTGTCTGAAAGTGCCCAATCCAAGAAAACCTACCCTAACTTGGGAGCTAAATGCCCATTCTGCAGAGATCTGTAGATACCTAAGGCACCAGTGGGTGTCTGGGGTCTATCCACGGGAGTTACTAAGCCAGGGCCGCCTGAATCACTGTGTTTTCACCAGAGAGCCCTGTATTTAGCAGCACTCGTTTTGTTTTTGGGGGGGTTGGTGGGTTTGTTTTGTTTTTGAAGCCCGGACAATAACCAATCGCAAGTCCCTCTGTCGCCCCCTTTTAAATCTCAACGCGGTCCGTTTACACTAAAGAAGAAAAAAAAAAAGTTCAAAAGGATCAATACTGCTCCGGACAGCGACGTCCGCGAGCTCTGGGGGGGTCGGGGCCGGGGCCGACTCCGATCCCTCTCCCAGATCTATCCATCTCCATAGGCCCTTCTTTGAGGCCTACAGCTTCTGCCTAGCCTTGAAGCCTAAGATGGCTATTTGCAGACAGGTCCTGCTTTCTTTTGTTAGCGGTAGAAACCCAGGGCGAGCGGGCCGAGGCTGTGCCCCCGGCCGCCGGGATCATTTCGCAGCCGATTATCGATGTTAAACCTGCCCGCGCTAATTTTGAGTTGCACGAAAACTGCTCAGAGTCTTGTGTGTCTCTGTGTCTGCCTGTGCTAGAGCGGCAGCGGCGGCGGCGGCCGCGGCGGCGCTGACTCGCGGGCGGACGAGCGGGGCGGGCGCGGGGCTCGGCGGGCGGGCACCCCGCGCTCCCCGCCGCGCCGCTCAGACCCCGCGGGGCCGCCCGGACACCGGGCAGGACGCTCCCCGCCCGCCCGCCCGCCGGGCCGCCCGCCCGCCCAGCCCCGCGCCCGCCGCGCGCACGCGAGCCACCAGGCCGAAAACAGCCCCTGCCGCCGCCGCCGCCGCCGCCGCCGCCGGCCGCCTCCGTGCCACCGGCTCGCGAGCGCCGAGAACGCCGTGTGGCCCCGCCGGCCGCCCCCCCCCCCCGGTCCCCCGGGCGCCCGCTCCCGGGCCGGAGCAGACTTTTCCGAGCAGGCCGGAGAGAGGGAAATACAAATTAAAACTTCCACTACTCACCTTCGCGAATCCGCCTAAAGTAGTGACTCGGGTGTAGAGCCCGTGAAGATCCAGCTCCTTCCCACCCACCGCAGGGATCTTCTTAAACGGCGACCTGCGGGCGACAGAAAGCCCCGCACTTGTCACCGGGACCCCCCGCGCCCCGCCGCGGGGGCCCCCCGTTCGCCCCGGCTCGCCCCGGCGCTGCTCTCTCCCCCCCCACACACCCCCCCGGGTCCCTGCTCTCACCCTCTGCTGTGGTGGAACTGCCGCAGCTCGTCCAGGAAAGCCAGTCCCTTCCTCCGCTCGTCCGGAGGCGCCTTCCCCGTCGAGTTTGCCATTATTTTGCCCAAGGAGGTCTTCCGAAAACCCAGATCGCGCTTCAGACGCGGCCCCCGCTCCCCGCGCTCCCTACCAGCGCCCGGAGCCCATTCCTCGGCCGGCGGTGGCGGGGCTCAGTCATGGGCCGGCGGTGGCGGCGGCGGCGGCGGCGGCGGCGGCGGCGGCGGCAGCGGCAGCGGCGGCGGCGGCGGCGGCGGCGGCGGCGCAGGGAGGGAGGAGGGAGGGGGAGGAGGCGAGGAGGAGGAGGAGGGGAAGGAGGGAGCGGGAGGCCAGGGGGAGAGCGCAGGGCCGGAGGGAGGGGAATTTCTAAAAAAGTTTAAAGAAACGGGAGCGAAACTAAGAGGGGCAGGCGACGGGCGGCCCGGGCGCGGAGCCGCGGGGCGAACGCGGCCCCGACCCGGCCTCGCCGCCTCCCCGCGGCCCGGCTCTGGCCGCCTTCTCAGCGCCGCCGCCGGGGCCTTAGCGGCTCGGCCCGGGGGACGCGATTCAACATGGTGCTGCGGCCCGCGGGGCGCACGAGCCGGCCGGCCGGGGGCCGGGCGAGCGGAGGCGAGGGGGCCCGGGCGGCCGCAGGCCTGGGAGTTGCGGCGGCGGCGGCGGCGGCGGCAGCGGCGGGGCCGGGGCAGGCGGGGCCGCGTGGGGAGGGGGAGGTCTGTGTGGTGGCTTGTGGAGAGCGGGGTGACAGCGTGGATCCGGGCCGCGGCTCCGCGGGGCCCTCGCACACATTCACGCGCGGCGGCGGCAGCAGCAGCGGCGGCGGCGGCAGCGGCGGGCCCGGGCGTCCCCGGGCACAGGCTCCGGCGGCAGCCGAGCCGCTGCGCGCCGCCCGCCGGCCTGCCTGCCCGCCAGCCTCCCCCTCTCAGCCGCCGCCACGGCCGGGCCCCGCCAGCGCCCGCACAGCGCCCCCCGAGGGCCGGCCGCGGCACTGCGCCTGGCTCCACACGGTCGCGGCCGCGGCGGCGGCGGCGGCGGCGGCGGCGGCGGCGGCTCCTCGCGGGGAACAATAGACTCGGCTCGCCCGGCTTAGGGTTCATCTGCAATGTGCAGCACATTTCACACGCACACAAAAGCCGGCGGAGAGGGGAGGGGGGCGCGGCGGCGGCGGCGGCGGCGGCGCGGGGAAACGGCCACTACCGGTTGTTCCAGGGTGAGGGGTGGAGGCGATATTCGTTCGAGGCCCCGGCGGGGGCTGCGGGCTGAACGGCCGCCCGAGTCGCCCGCCTCCCCGCGGCTCGCCCGGCGCAGCCCCGCGGCGGCCCCGGGGAAGTCCTCTCGCACCCTCTGCAAACGTTAGGGCCGGAGGAATCGGCCCCTCGGCTTCAGGCTTCGATCCCGGGGCCCGAGGAGCACATTTTCCACGGCGTGGCCATAAAGTCACTTGGACAAACTGTAGAGCACACACACACACACTGTGAACTGCCTGCCCTACTTTTTGTGGGGAATGGACCAGGCAGGGCTCGGAATTGGGCTCGCCTCGGCTCGGTTTCGTGCACCCAAACCGGAGTTATGCAAACAGTCACTGCGCCGGTTAAGAAACCACCTCTCGAACTTTGAGGATAACGTTTATATGTTATCGCACGGGCACCTTGAAAAGAGAGGGCAACGTGTTTCCCCCTTTTCCATTTCCCGTAGTGATCCCTAAAGGTGTCCACAGGGGATTCAAAATTTCATCTCCACCAACCAACCATCATCTCCACCAACCACCACCCCACTTTGCATTTTTTTTTTTTTTTTTACGAGGATGCTGGAGCCCTCCCCTCGGCTGCACACGTTGAGCATCCTGTTTCCTCCTGTGCGTTCGTAGTAGTCCCATTTCAGAGACAGCCACTACTGACTGGCAAAGTCACTAGCCCAAGGTCACACGCTGATCGAGAGTCTGGATGGGTTCATTCCGGGGGGGAGTCTTTCCAATGGCACGGATCGGGTGGCGGCAACATACATACATCAATAAAATATTATGTAATGGAGCGGAGCGTGCTTCCGGTACTCACTCTAGGAAACGGATTTTTATTTCCCCAAGTAAAGTTTATGTCTGAAATGGGGTCGGAATCAGGTGTGGCTAGGAAATTCCTGACACCCGAGGACCAGTGAGTGTCTCGCAAAGCCTGTGAGGGGCGGAGACCCTGCCTGCCCGTGGAGGAGGAGGAGGAGGAGGGAGGAGGGAGGACGGGGAAGCCGGCCGGGCCGGAGGCGAGGCACGGGTGGGCCGGGCCGGGCGGGCCAGCGGCTCCCTTTCTCCCCCCGCTCCAGGGCAGTCAGTGGCGGGCCCGCGGGCGGCCGGGCTGGGCCGGGGCTGGGGCCGGGGCCGGGGCCGGGGCCGGGGCTGGGGCCGGGGCTGTGCGGCTTCCCTGCGCGCGGCACTTGCGCACGGCCCCTTGCGTAACCGTCAGCGCCGGGGATTCCCTAGAGGGGGGTCACTGGCTGCAACCATTACACACGGCCGGGCTCCGCCGCCGCCGCCGCCGCGCCGCCTCACAAAATGGCGGCGCCCATGGAGCCGGCGGCGGCCGCTCCCCGGGCCCCATTTTGTGGCGGAGGCGAGCGATCTGTCAACATGGAATACCTCCGCCGCCGGGTGTGTGTGTGGGGGCGGGGGGGGAGATGCATCTGACTGGAGAAGCCGGCGTCAGGGAGCGGAGCCTGTGGGGTGGACCACGTTACACGAGGGCGACGACGACGACGACGCAGCTCTTCCCCCCCTCCTCGGCCCCTCCATCCCCTGCCCGCCCCCCGCACCCCCACCCGGCGCTCGGCCCCTCTTCGTCTTCTCCGAGTGCAAAAGCCTCCGAAGGCCGCGGGGGGTCACGGTGGCGGAAGAAGGCACGGGCGGGCCGCGGACGGACGGAGGGACGGCTGCTCCGGGGGACTCAGCGGGGTGACAAGCGGGATCCGGAGGGACGAGGACCGGGGCGGGGTGGGGGTCGGGGCGGGTGGGGGGGGGGGGGCCGCTCCGCTGCTTGTCGTCAAGTGCGAGCCGGCCTGTCCCCCCCCCCCCGTCGTGTGTGCCCGCACGGGGGTCGCGGAGGCCCCGGGATCGCGGAGTCGCGGCGGCGGCGGCGGCAGGCGACCCGGTGGGGACGAAGCCTGACCTTTGGAGTCGTCGGAGCGGCGACCTGGGACTGACTGTACGTTGTGGATGGCTCCAGGTGGACATCGGGACCTCCTCGCGTCCCACTCTCTGCCGTGGACAGGCCCCCCCCCCCCCCCGCTTGGCTGTCGTTCTCCAAGTCCAGGGGCAGAATGGAGGGGGATGACATGTTTGCGTTTGACCGGGGAGGTTGCCACTTCGAAGCCACCGAATGCTGTCAGGGTGTGTGTGTGTGTGTGTGTGTGTGTGTGTCCACACACCTACCTAGTAGCAATTTGGCTTTTCAGAGCAGGTATCAGAAGGCGAAGGGACTTGGAGGGACTCTAACCTTTTAAAGCTTTTTCCAGGAAATTTAGGATCATTCTCCGTAGAAGAGGTATAATCTTCAAAATGGAGCCCTAAGTGTACGGATGGATAGAATTGAAATCCTTAACACTTTGGCTATACTCTGATTAAAGTGAAAACAAACATAAAAAGTTGATATTATCAGGTCATCCAACGGTTCAGTTTTCTTGTGATTAGGAAGGGAAAAAAAGAAACAACAATTAACCAACGGTTATTTGCTTGAAAAGGAAAGACTTGAGATTTAGCTGATGGCACAGATATCCTTTCCACGAATTGAGTTGACATGTCGTCTTCCAATTGTGTCATGGTGCTTGCATGTTTCTGTTGTGTGTTGAGATGTGTATGATGGTACCTTCATATTTCCTTCTGAGTACAGAACAGCCACCTTCTGCAGACTGCTCCTGACTGAAGTTCCACACCCTGCCCTCTGCCCCGCCCTGTGACTGCTGCTGTCCCGTGGAACACCAAGATAGCTCCTGTGCTGTCTGTCCTTCCAGATGTCCGTTATTTAACAAGTTTAGTTACTCCTAATCAGTCTGTATGGCAAGGATGCCATATCTTAGCACCCACCCAAGCAACCAGAGAATATTCTTACGCTTTTGTACTAAAGTGTCCCCGGTGAGTAGTATCACATTTTTTATTAGCATAATACATTTCCAATAGTGGGCAGCATAGAGCAGGTGGAACCTACACAAGACGTGTTAGGCGTGCTGACAGTTTTACAATGGCTATTCTCTAACTAATTGATGTGAAGTACAATATAGCTCAGAGTTTTCAAGCATTAATGAAAAGCATTCCCTTAAAGATTACAGCGAGAGTGAACATTGTCCAAACCTTTGTATAGTTTACTGTTCTGGTGAGAACTGTGACAAAGACTTTATTCTAGAGAAAAAATGCAAAGTGTTGTTCCTAATAGTGACTGCAGGTCCTAGGCAGAGATTCCTGTCATGTGAATCTTTGTCTCATACCATCCGTTTGATTCATCAAGAATTAGGATAAAAAATTCCCTTTCAATGCTACTTCAAGAAACCATACCCAATTTCAAATCAAGCATGACAGGTATGTGATTTCAAGGGGTGAAATAACGTAAGTGGGGAGATGGCATGTCAACCCAGTGTTGGGTTTCAGGTTTCTCTAAGGTCTACAAAAGTAACGGTTTGGTTGGTGGAACAAGGCTTTTGCAGTTCACTTGTTATTTGGAGATGACGTGAAGAAAGTACTGTCAGTGAGATGTGAGGATGCTTTGGGGGCTTGCTGCTTTTGTTGGAATCTGCTGCAGTTTTACATGTGTGCCGACTTGTCTCATTTGAAAATTTGATCACAACTTCAGATAATAGCTGTGTCCTCTCCCTTGTGATGGTGAGTCTGGTGGAGTAAGTGACAGCCGTGAGGAAAGGAGGGCTTCTTCTACAGACTAGGACAGCGTTGGTGTGGACAGATGCTCGGGAGCCTTCAGTTGACAGGCTTCCGGATGATGTGGCACAAGAGAGTCCAGCAAGCCGTGGGAGATTCTTATTCCTTTCACTAGACATTAGAAGTTAGTCTTTATACAAAAACAGTGTGATTTTATTTCAAAGTAAATGATCATTTTCAATTTGAAAACTTGAAAAGATTTAATTAGAATATTAAATTGTAGGCAGTTACAATACTACAGTCTGGAGGTAGCATTGCCTTGGGCTTTGACAGAGAGCGCTGGCCTCCGATGTTTAGGTTACGTCTCCAATCCTGAATTTTTCCAAGTAGTTATGAGTTTAATGTGATACATGTATGTGTTCTTAATTATTTCTGTTTTGGATCATTGAAAGCACTTACACAGCTTAGCACTTTAATACTTGATTCTGTGTAATAGCATCTGCGTTTGGGAGGTACGGACACTAGGCCATGCAGCTCTTTATTTTGTGAGTGTAGGTGACAGGCTCACTGTGTAAATAGCTGTTGAATGCCTGACTTGGTCAAGAGCTGGAGAGAGAAGGACCTGACCCTCCAGGAGGTCGTGTTCTAAACTGCTAGCTTTAGAGGGCTGTGATGAAATATTTAGCCCACAGGGTTCTTAATTTTGAATACTTCAGTCGAGTCTTTAACATTGAAAATTGGTTTTCAGGCAGGCCTGTAGCTCTCAGCTGTAACCTCAGCCTAGAATACTGGGACAGGGTTGTGGGTTCCATGACAGCCAGCGCTAAATTGTGAGACACTGTCACAGACAAGACAAACCAGAATTCTTCTTAGGGACAATTAAATGTGATTCTGTATGAAATAGCATCATGGCATCATATCAGCATTGGGATCACAGTTGAGGTTAGTATTTATTCACAATGCTGTGATGTTTGTAATAAGAACTTAAATCATATTTGAAAACACAGATCCGTGGCAATCTAATGATTAACTGTATTTAAGGGACTGGCAGGGGAATGTTCAGTGAGTGTTTTACTTGCGCGCGCGCACACACACACACACACACACACACACACACACACACACGCCCTCCCTACTCAGCATTGTTTCAATGAATTTTTATTTTCTGTTTCAATTTTTTGGTACATTGACTCCTCTCTACATTGCACTTTGCTATTAATTTAAAAAATTAAATCCAAAGACATATTAATTTTGTACTTAATGCAGACCTAATTCTTGACTAGCTGTAAAGTTTAAAGTGTAGGCAGTCATGTTGGCAAAACAATAAAACAGGAATTAAGCTGAAATGCAAAATGGTAATAGGTTCCATAAGGCTATCATTTTTTCAGTTACTCCATGAGTCAGGATGGTGTTGACTTGATAATGATTGAATCTATGTAACTCTGTTTCTCTGAGACCTTGATGACCTGCTCATCTGCAGCATCAAAATGGAAACTCAGTGAAGTCTACTGTAAACAAAAAATGTAGATTTCAGAGTATTGTAAGATATTTTTAAGTCAGGCTCCCTTTTATTATCAGTACTGATAACAGTAACTGTTACATCAGTGATTATTGATGTGTTGGTCCTGTTTCTAACAGCTATACTCTTGAGCCCCATTTAAAGACATTTCTTCTTAGGGTGCTGGGGTTGTTAAGAGGTTGAATGATGCCCTCCTTTCTTTGGAGTATTTGGGACTTGACTCTCTTCCCACCCAACTGACTCTGCCCTTAACACTGCCATTCGTTAATCTTGGTTGTTTTTCTGCTCCGTTAAGTTGGGGCCACCAAAACTAGTAGTAACACCATGACTACACCACCAGGTTAGTACCTGTTGCACATAGGCTCCTTCCTTCCCTATCTGCTTTCTGGGTGGATTTCTAAAGACTTGAGATAGCAATGTCTTCCCAGCTAGCTAAGAGATTATTCAACTTGTGATCTGTGTGTAAGTTGGAGGTATCCGTGAGCCTTGTGAAACAAGACATAGTACTTTGCATTTTCCTAGGGAGAAGGGCTCCATGGGTGTGAGCATTTTAGGGGGTGCTACAGTATGCACAGAGTTCAAGCTGCTTAAGACAAGGACACAGGAAGCTTAGATCACTTCAGATGCTCTGTTCTGTTTTAAGTGGTGTTGGCCTCCTGCAGAAAAAGCATTTTGAAGCTTCAGCTAAGGATAACCACTTAGTTTACAAGATTGGAATAATTCCAACTAGCGAGGTGTGTCTGTAGAGAACTACATGTACTAGATTATTGAAGGTTCATTTT